GTAGAGAGGTTTAAGGCAAGATTAGTTGCCAAAGGTTACAGTCAAAAGGAAGGGTTGGATTATCATGATACTTTCTCTCCCATGGCAAAAATGGTTACAGTGAGATCCATTATACCACTAGTAGCATCAAAGAGCTGGGAACTGTTCCAAATGGATGTCTATAATACTTTTTTGCAAGGAGACCTATGTGAGGAGGTATACATGGAGATGCCAGAAGGCTTTAGTAGTCAGGGGGAGAAGAAGGTGTGTNGGGGAAGGTATGCAGATTGCGCAAGTTCTTGTATGGACTCAAACAGGCATCTAGACAATGGAACATTAAGTTGACCGAAGCCTTGACAAGTAGAGGTTTCGCTCAAAGCAATCATGACTACTCTCTGGTTACCATGAGAAAAGGTGAGGATGTGGTGATCATTCTAGTCTATGTAGATGATCTGCTTATCACAGGAAGTAGTAAAGAGCTTGTGAGTGTTGCTAAGAGTATACTGCATGATAAGTTCAAAGTCAAGGACCTAGGGGAGCTTAAGTACTTCCTAGGCATAGAAGTCCTAAGGTCTCAACAGGGCATCTTGTTGAATCAAAGAAAGTATGTGCTTGAATTGATTTAAAAAATGGGACTCAGTGGAGCAAAACCTTATGCAACACCACTAGAAACAAACCAAAAATTGACTACAATGGAATATAATAAGGCAGTTGGTGCATTAGATGATCTGCCATTGCAGGATGTTTGTGCTTATCAAAGGTTGCTAGGGAAGTTGCTATATGTGACCATCACCAGACCTGATATTAGCTATAAGTGTTGACACTCAGTCAATTTATGCAAAAGCCTAAACAATCACATTGGGAAGCTGCCATCAGAGTGGTGAAGTATCTCAAGAATGCACCTGGTTTAGGTGTGTTTATGAAGGCAGAATCAACAATCATCTTACTTGTTGGTGTGACTCTGACTGGGCTGCTTGTCCTAACACTAGAAGATCTGTGACTGGTTACGTTGTCAAGTTTGGTGAATCCCTGGTGTCTTGGAAGTCTAAGAAGCAGCAAACTGTCTCAAGAAGCTCTGCAGAGGCAGAATATCGAAGCATGGCATCTGTTGTGGCTGAGGTAACATGATTACTTGGCTTATTTCAGGAATTGGGATTTGTCATTACACAGCCTGTCGTGGTTCACAGTTACAGCAAGGCTGCTATACAGATTGCTGCAAATCCGATTTTCCATGAACGTACTACGTACATCAAAATTGATTGTCACTTTATTTGAGATAAGATCAAGAAAGGAGTCATACGTACTACCTTTATTGGCACTAAAGATCAACTAGCGGATTTATTGACGAAGGGGCTCAGCAAAGTGAAACACTTTCATTTAATGGGCAAGCTGGGAGTGCTCAATATTTTACACCCTTCGGCTTGAGGGGGAGTATTAATATGTATTCATATGTGATAGCAATCTCACGTGGCAGCTCAGTTTAGTTAGTTAGTTGTAATATTATGTGCAGTTATAGCTTAGCTGTCACTAGTTAGTTAGTGGAGTTGATTAGTGGAGTCAATTATATATATGGACTTTAGTATTCAGTTAATATACAGACTTTTATTTTTCCCAATTTTGTTTCTTCTCTCTTATCTCATTTCACACCAGTTGCTTCCATTGGAGAAGCTTCAAGCTTCATCTGTTGAGCTCGTATTTCAGCAAAAAGTTTCTTCACTTTGACACTATAAGTAGTACCTTATATCAAAGAGCGTAAGTCTATTCTTGCATCTTGATGATCTTTAATGTGATAATTTTTTTTAGTTTCCAAGAAGTGAAAAAAGGGAGAATGTTCAAATTTAGAAACGGAAAAGGCCTAAAAATTTCACTTATCTAATATCAATGGCCTATCTATGCCATCCGTTAAAAGGTTGCCCTATTCATGCCACTAACGTTATACTTTTGGCCTATTTATGCCAGTAACGTTATACTTTTGGTCTACTTATGCCATTGTCGACTAACAATTTCATTTTCTGATTTTTAAATAATAAGAATTAATTTTTCGACCCCATTTTTTCCACGTGTCTTGATATTACCGGTTCTTCTTTACTTGACCCTGATTATGTATAATTAATCATGTCCAACCCGATAAAATTCAACCATCTTTTAACCCAACCCCTAATTCCTTGTCACGGCCCGATAAGATCAGTGTTTAGTGATTTGTATTTATTTGAAACCGATGTTGTGTTTATTTCAATTTAGTTTGAAAAATTTAAATCTTAAAAGCTCATGATTTGTACTACCAGTCCTTGCAAAAAGTATTAAGGTTCGTTATTTTATCATTTATTTGTCTAAAAAAATCTCATTAAATTGGATAGATGTTAATTGGCTTATCTAGCAGGTTGGGTTAGGTGTCATCACGACTAGTTGGATTTTGGGTCGTGACAAGGAATTAGGGGTTGGATTAAAAGATGGTGGGATTTTATCGGGTTGGGCATGGTTAATTATACATAATCAGGGTTAAAAGAAATGTAGGGTCAAGTAAACAAGAACCAGTAATATAAAGACACGTGACAAAGGTGGGGTCGAAAAATTACTTCTTAGTATTATTTAAAAACCAGGAATGGAACTGTTAGTAGACAATGGCATAAATAGGCCAAAAGTATAACGTTAGTGGCATGAATAGGGCGACCTTTTAACGAATGACATAGATAGGCCATTTATGTTAATTGAGTCGCATTTTTAGGCCTTTTCCGATTTTGGAAAAGGTCACCCACAATATTCTAGCAAGTTCAATTCATGGAATGTCTGCAAGAACAGATAGGATGAAGTGACAATTATAAGCAGAATCATTTCTTCGAATCATTTCAATTATTTGCATAATATTAGCATAATTGCATCCATTGAGTAAAAATGTCCTCACAACAATTGCTATAAGACTTCTTGCAATGAATTTTGGAATATCAATGTGAGAAAAAGTGATGCAAGAAGTGACTGTTCTGCGTGCATACTTAAGTATGAGAAATGTTGATTTTAGTATCCATCTGTTTACGCATTATATATTCATGTGTTATTTTTCAAGAATTTCTGTTTTATTTTATATTTAAATTTTAGGGGAAGAAGAATGGCATGGAAAAGCTAAGTTGGGACGAATATTTTAGACCGTCACAGGTCATATATGGTTTGAACTGTTAACATCCTGTCCATGTAAATTGGCTCAAGAAAGCCGTTGGGTGAATTTGCCACCTGAAGTCCTTAACTTCTGATTCATGTAGTCCAAAGAATAGAGGGCAATGATAGCTCATGGCCTGTTTTTTCCTTTTTCTTATTTCTTTTTTGTTTTGTTTCCATTTTAGGTTGTCTATTTCAAATTTTACTTTAGACAAATAAAAAATATCAACCATATGAAAATACAAGTTTCAACAATTTCTATTATGAAACAGAATATTCTATGAAAAGAGCTTAGAGGGAGAAGAAACAAAGCGGGCAATATGTCAGGTTTACCCCACCAATTTTTATATTACTATCTTTTCTCCTTTTTTATTATTTTTAATTCTTTGTTTTTACTTATTCAAGTTGAAATGCGTAATTTAAATGGATTCTCTTATATTTCAGACGAAATATCTCTCATTAAAAGAGTCTTGAAAAAAATAGTAAAATCATTTATTACGTCTTTTATTTTGCAAAAAATTAGTGAGTAAAGGCAATTTCGGCCAAAATTCGAGAGCGAGGACATGAATGGATCAAATTTGTAACGGAAAGTAAAGTGATTTTTTCACAAAGTATAGAAGAATATTTGGACCTTTTATATTTTCTTTTAAAACTTATGAAACTAACTTCTAGTCATATTTTTAATTTATTATTGTGACCGCGCGAAGCGCGAACAACTACACTAATTTATTTTATATTGTGTATTTTAAATAGGCTATGATTGTTAGAGTAGACATTTGCAAATTTAACATTCTGCCTCTTTTCTAATGATTTCACAAGCAATACATCGAGGCATAGATGCTTTTATACAGTATATCTGCATGGATATCGACTGTACTTCTAATCGTCCAAACTACGCCAACACGTTAGTAATATGTAGAGGGGATAACTAATAACTAATTTCAATACCATTTTGCCTAATGCGACATTAATCTGTCATTCAATTAATCCTTTTGCACATATAGAACAAGGAACAAATTTGGATTTCGATTAAGTATTTCCAGTTTTCTACCAGTAACAAATCTTCACTGACTTCGGCTCAAGGCTCCACTACCTATGATCTCTTATTATAGTCATATTGTGAATTACTAGGTAGCTGAACTGGTAGAAGGATACATATATTTGATCAGTGACGGAATCATAATTTTTAATTGAATTCAGAATTTGAGAGAAAGAACCTTATTTATTTAGTTTTTCAATTTTTATATGTACTTAGCTAGTTTTGATAAGTCTAAGACTAATGGCAAGAGTTGGTAAGTTGAGACTTATTTGGGACATTTGTGTAAATTTCCCTAGAAAAAAATTGAAATTAGTACGGGAGATATTAAAAAATAGCCAGATTTACAAGTGATTATTCAAAAATAGCCACAGTTTCAAAAGTAATCGAAATTTGTCCATTTTTCATGTAAAGATAAATAACGAAAACACTGTTCAAAATCCGAAAAAATACTCCAGTATAATATACTGGAGTAATTATACTGGAGTTCCAGTATAATATACCGGTCCAGCATAATATATTGGAACTTTTCGCGTGTTGGACTTCCAGCATAATATACTGGAAGTTTATACACAGGTGCACCGATCTTCAGTATATTATGCTGGAACTTTCCGTTTGCAGCAAAATAGTGGCTATTTCAACGACTTTGTAAATGTTGCCTATTTTTAAATAACCAATCCGAAAATAGGCTAGCCCGTGCTATTGTTACAATAGTACTATAGCCTATAACACATAAATCAGTGGATCACATGAAGAAAACTGGGCCAAGTGTAAATTGGGCAAATGTCAAAATCCAATTTGGTTTTTGAACAGTGGATAACTTTGGATATTGTCATTTCCTCATAGGTCGGTTTTTAAACCCGCCATTTTATCCCTTTCGAGACTCTCACTACCCGCTTCTATAAATTCTCGAATTCAAGTCTTCACGAGAAATTTCATCACTATCCCCAAAATCCTCTCAAATTCAAATTTCCGTTCCGGATCCGTTATCGCTGAGATTTTTCAAATTTCGTGGAATGCCTGTGAACTTGACCGCAAACGCGATCCCGGCGATTATCGCCGGCGACGTGAACTCAAAGCCAGTGGTTCAGGTATTGGACATCAAGCTAATCGGCGCCGCTGCGGATCGGTACGGACTCCTAATCTCAGATTCTGAGTCAAGTCAGCAGGCTATGCTGGCTGCTCAGCTTAATGACCGAGTCAAAACGGGCCGCGTTCGCAAAACCTCCGTCATTCAGTTGATTGAGTACATTTGTACCACTGTTAAAAATCGCAAGTATGAATTTATTATTATTTTCTTCAAGCTTCAGATAAATATTACATGTACAGTGTTTATGATGACATGTGCTTCTACTTTTGATTGCATATAAAGCTTTGTGATACTTGCTTTATTGTGTGTTCTCCTTATTCTGCTGTGCGCATGCTTGTGTGACTGTTTTTTTACACTATCAGTGATTTTTAGTTACTACTTTTAATAGATTACTAATTAATGCTTATTAAGAGATACTCGTAGTAAGTGACTTGATTGTGTAAGTTTTTTTTATACCGTCAGTGAATAGAACTTAAACATTTTTTTATTTATGTACAAGTATTTCAAATGTAAAAAATGATAAATTTGGCTTTGCTTTTGTTGTTTGAGCTTTAATTAGAATGTTGATGCCTTGGTAGAGAATTACTCCTCACTGATTTGGATGTGCAATTAGGCAAAAAAAAAAAAAAAATGCAATTATATTAGTTCATTATGGTTTGTGCTATTTCTCTTGTGGTCACATTTGTTTTTATCATCCATACATTGGTCATTCCAATTTTAACTTTGATAGATTTGGCTTGGATTTTGTTGTTTCGAGCTTTAACTAGAATGTTAATGCCGTGATAGGGGATTATCCTTTAATCATATTGATAAGCACTTCTTTTTATATGCAAAAGGCAATACACATATATAACTTCATTATGTTTTCTCCAAGTTTTCTGGTGTGCGCATGTCATTTCGATCATAAAGTTAGATTTGGCTGTGATTTGTTGTTTGAGCTTTAACTAGAAGGTTAATGTCATGGAAGGAAACTATTTTCTGTTCGGCTCGATGGTGGAGAATTACTCCTTAATAATTTGAGTATGAGCAATAGTGCAACATTACAAAACACATGTTTCTTGTCAATAATTGGTAATTTTGTTTCATTTTTTGATTTGGTGTTAGCTTTCTATGTGTTCCTCGACGATTGTGTCAGAAACATGAAGCAGTTTTCCCCTTGGAAATTGTTGCACTGCCAAAGTTGTGTCATCTTTGCCTTGGTGTCATCTTGAATTGGGTGCTGAAAATGCTGTCCCATAAATTAGAAGAGTGTGGCACTTCTGTGCATTAAGCAGTGTATTAGGGGATCAAGCAAGTGTCTATTTTAGCTAATAAGAAGTAATGTCTTATCTTTTTTCGTATATCAATCTGGATTATACCTTTGAATGGAACTTGGGCTGGATGTGTTGATCTTGTTTTCCTTTTGCAGAATTATTGTTGTCATCAACATGGAAACTATTATACCAGAATGTGAGATAATTGGGAATCCTAAAGTGCTTGTAGAATCTAATTTTGGGGCTCAGAAAGCTATATCTAATGGCATTTCTGGGTCTGGAATCTTTAACAATGGTAACTTGAGTGCTCAAAGATCTGGCCAAACAAGCTTTGCTAACAGCAACAACTTGAGCTCCCTAAACTCAGGTAATAGCATGCAGAACTACCCACCTGCAATTCAACCTGCATATCAACCTCCTCCAAATTACAAAAGCCATGGGACAATAATGAAGAATGAAGCACCTGCCCGCATTATTCCAATTGCTGCTTTGAACCCCTATCAGGGTCGGTGGGCTATTAAGGCTAGAGTGACTGCAAAGGGGGATCTACGTCGCTATAATAATTCCAGAGGAGATGGAAAGGTCTTCTCATTTGATCTCCTTGACTCTGATGGGGGTGAAATACGTGTCACTTGCTTTAATGCGGTTGTTGATCGCTTTTATGACAAAATTGAAGCTGGAAAAGTGTACATGATATCAAGGGGCAACTTGAAACCTGCTCAGAAGAACTTCAACCATCTGAAGAATGAATGGGAAATATTCTTGGAGATAACTTCAACTGTAGATCTCTGTCCAGATGAAGATACCACTATACCAAGACAGCAGTTCTCATTCAGACCTATTAGTGATATTGAAAGTGCAGAAAGCAATTCAATAATAGATGTGATTGGAATTGTAATAGCTGTCAATCCTTCTGTTCCGATCCTGAGAAAGAATGGAATGGAAACTCAAAGAAGAATCTTGAATCTAAAGGACCAGTCTGGGCGAAGTGTTGAGTTGACACTATGGGGAGACTTCTGTAACAGGGAAGGTCAAAAGCTGCAAGAAATGGCAGAAGCTGGGTTTTCCCCTGTTTTAGCTGTCAAAGCTGCAAAAGTTAGTGACTTCACTGGGAAATCCATTGGAACCATTTCTTCCACTCAACTGTTCATAGATCCAGATTTTGCAGAGGCTCAGACTCTAAGAGAGTGGTTTGATCGGGGAGGAAAAGATGTTGCTTCTCAATCTATATCTAGGGAAAACATGCCTGTAGGATCAAAAAGTGAGATACGTAAGACCGTGTCTCAGATCAAGGATGAAGGGCTTGGTAGGTCAGATAAACCAGACTGGATTACAGTTAAGGCAACTATAACATTCGTCAAAACTGACAGCTTCTGTTACACTGCTTGCCCTCTGATGATTGGAGATAGACAATGTAATAAGAAAGTTACCAGGTCAGGAAACTCGAGATGGCACTGTGATAGGTGCAATCAAGAGTTTGACGAATGTGATTACAGATACCTTCTTCAAGCTCAAATTCAAGATCATACTGGGTTGACATGGGTGACAGCTTTCCAGGAATCTGGGGAAGAGATTTTGGGCTGTCCTGCAAAGGAGCTACACATGATGAATGAAGAGGCTGATGATACCAGATTTTCTGAAATTATTAGAAAATGTCTCTTTACACAATTTCTATTCAGGCTTAAAATCAAAGAGGAACCTTACTGTGATGAGCAGAAGGTGAAGATTACAGTTATCAAGGCAGAGAAAGTGAAACATTCTGCAGAAAGCAGATATCTCCTTGATTTAATTTCAAAATTCCGTCCTTCTTGAACAAAGGAAGCCAGATGAGAGACTCTTATTGCATCCATTTTTAAGAAACCCATTGGCCTCTCAGAGAGATATAGGCAAAAAGTCATTATTGTAGTCAGGTGATTATTTTTCTCTTCGCCATAGGAAGGTGCATTATTTGCATTCTTGCTTTGAAATCCCACTTACTGGTCTAATGTAGCTTTAGTATCCAATTGATTTGGAAGAAAACATATTTTCATTTTTTTTTTGATTTGGTAATCCCCCCTCCCTTTAATCCGTTCTCTCCACGGTCCAGCCAGTCGTGTTTCTCACTTTCCCCCTCTTGTAAGTGAACACTCAGCTTGGATGGAATAATCTTTCAGATGTTCGTATTTTTAGATGTATAAAATGGAATAATCTTTCAGCAATTCTTATTTTATATGGATAAATTTTGGATGCCGAGTTGGGAGAAGCTCATAAGGCATGTTATCATTTGCATTGGTGGATTTCTTAGTTTTTAGTAGATAAAAACGAGTCATCCACAGGTTTACTGAGTCTTGGCTATTGCTATGCTCAGCTCTCTGAAAATCATTTGATTGGTGAAAAGGCAGAGATATTAGCTAGCGTATTAGCGGGAATTAATTGTATTGCTCTCCGCGGTCTGCGAGAGCAGCAAACTGCAGTTCAATGTTTCCTTTGATAAGGTGGATTTCTTCATGCGAAGAAATAAGCTAAAGTAGAGATAATACATTGATTGGTTATGTAAACATTATATAAATCATCAGGGGAACATTAGATAGATACAAGAAGAGAGTGGAGATATATCAGAATTTTGTTTCTCAAGTCCGTTTGACAGGATCAAAGTTGGAAACACCAATTACAGCGCCAATAATTGCAGTAAGCACAACTCCTCCTGAAACAATGCTGAGCAAGAAGTTCTTGAGGGATGGTGAAAAACTGTCAGCTGCTTCGGCTACGTCGGGAATCACCATGGAAGCAGTCAGGGCAGCTGCTGTCAATCCTGTCACAACCTTCTCCTTAAGTAAAGCCTTGACTTCAAACCTTGCAACTGGTTTTGATGCTGCACTACTCTTTGAGGGCTTTACTGGCAATGGCTTCAAGAAAGCCACAGCACTTGGTTGTATCTTCTGACTTGTGTAAGTCAGTGGCATGGCCATGGAAACTGCAGAAGAAGAAGCCATAATTTGCCTTTCTTTTTTGGTCTTTGCTCTGCGGTTTCCTTTATTCCCAAACTGCGCTGAATGAGAAATATGGTATTAGTAAGGATTGGTTTTGAGAGGAGAAAAATTTGGAGTTAGATTGAGAGGATGGAGAAAGGCTTTTCTATGAGAGGTGGAAATAAGCAATGGCGTTCCCACCTACTCTGTCCTATGTGGCGCATTCTACTTGGTTATTCTGGATAAGGTTATCTTATTGTAAGTTTATTGTTGTAATTTTATGTTCACAAAACCTGAGGGTAAGCCCACTCTAATTTGTGTTGTAGAGGGGAGAGTGGAGGAAATAAGTAGAACAGAGACAGATACAAAAATTAGAGTTTATATATATATATATTACCAAAGTATCCTTTAATTAACCTATAAATAGTTTTTTAAAATATAAATAAAAAACTAAAGCCTACAAAACGCAACCTTCCATCAGGCACCTATTCAGAAGAAACATGTTTCTAACTTTTAACACTTTAAATTCTTCACATCAATAGTCACAACTCTTAAAATAAAACGTTCTTTTGTTGTTGCTAAAAACTCTTAAAACAAAACCTAACACCTACAAACAACTCCCAATTACCCAATTGTCATCCGCATTACCCTCAAATCACATCTCTTGTATAACCTTAATGGCTTAATCAACCATGAGCGAACCGCGAAAACACCAAGTTCTTCTATACACATATACTTTCACATTTCGCATAATCATCATCATTATTTTTATTATCTGTTATTTTCTTTTCTAAGTAAATTGGAGTTATATTTGATTGTCGATTGGGCAAAATTTGTCAAACTAATCATTTTTATGCATGATTTCAGATGCAAGTTTAAGAATTTAGTTGACTTTGTTTGCCGTTTTTACCAGGTTTCATTTTAAGGTGCAAGTGCGATAAATATTTCGAGGGATGTGCTTTGGAAAAAGGATTCGCAAAAGAGAGCGTTATGGAATTATACTCGGCGAACCACTGCTGTCGCGCACTTAATTCTGGTCCGTTATTTGCTTTTTTTGTTATTCCACCATTTAAGAGATATAGTTAGTAGTCATGTTTATTAGCTTAATAATATTAGTTATGATCTATACAATGCTTCCTTATGTGGTATGACTTCATTCAAGATATTTTATATTCAATGTCTCATTTTGGTAGAAATATTTTTTACTTGTAAAGTGATAATGATACATTTAAAACTTGGAGATAATCGTAAGATAATTAGTGATTTTTTTTATTTAGCGTTTGTTTGAGTAGTACTCTCGGAATTTTTGTGTCCTTTATCATAAAGTTCATGCTTTTAAAATGCCAATTCAATTGATTTGTCGATTTTGATTTTCCACTTCTTTTTCATTGTTGGGTTTTCAAGTATAAGTAGTAGTAATTCTTTTTATATTTTCCGACTTTTTACTTTGCGAGACATTTTGGTAATACTTTCTCTCTCTTGAACGTGTATATGAAAAAATAGGGTTATATTGATTTCTCAAACTTGGTTGTGAAATCTGTTGTCTATAGTTAAATACATATGTCGTTGCAAACTAAATGCAAAGTAGAGAAGAAGAAGATTTTCCCTCAAAGTCCACGTATTTATTTTTGAATACTTAAAATATTAAATCGGACATATAAGAGGCATAATTCCTCCTAATTAGTATTAATAACCATGTATTATGAATTTGAATATATGTGCATATTCTTCATATAATACTAACATATTACAGAAATTTACCAAATTATGTTTCAAATTTTATATATGCAGTCAAAAAATAAAGCCAAGTGACATTGGGTGGATAAAACAAATTTAAAAAATTACAATCAGGTAGAATATTTATGGTTTAGTGTGAGTACATGGGCGATGGGTCGTTGACATGTGACTATTTCTTCTTTAGCTATATTTCTACAAGTTTTTTTGTGTGAAATAAGACTATAAGATAACTCTAATGAAGTCTAGAAAAAATTCATAGTAAAATCTCTTGTAACGCAAATAGCTTTAGAATATGGATCTACGACTAAAGATATTGCCATATGACTTATAACTAGGGGTGTTCATAAAAACCCAAGAAATCGAACCAAACCGAAAATCAAACCAAACCAACCAAAAAACCCGATACTTTTTGGTTTGGTTTGGTTTTGGTTTTGAATTTTAAAAACCGATCAAATTTGGTTTGGTTTTAGTTTTAATCAAAAAATAACCGAAAAAACCGAATCAAACCGACTATAGGAGTACCTATTTCAAATTTATTATAACACCTATATAAATGTATATTTTTATACAAAGTTTCAAATATTTTATGGTGAATGTTAATCGTTTGCACTTTTAGTACAGTTCTTTACCTTTATATTCTAGTTTGATTGGTAGTTTTCTTTTGTTAAGTGTAAGAATCCATTTCCTATTAAAAAAATATATTTTTAATTGAGTCCTTAAATTATTCATCACTATTTGATTCAATTATCATCAATATATGTTAGTAAATAATAGATTTTTCAAATGACAATTGATTTGATAGTGTTACGTTGAAAAATATGGTTGCTGGAATATGTGTTTGGTAGTGTATGTCTTATATTTAAGAAAAAACCGACAAATAACCGAAAAATCGACAAAACCCGACATAAACCGACTCGAGAAAAAACCGAGTTAATTGGTTTGATTTGGTTCTAATATTTGAAAAACCGACTTACTTGGTTTGATTTCTTTTTAGGGAAAAACCGATCCAAACAGAACCATGAACACCCCTACTTATAACTCTGCTATTATTTTCTTCTTGCTCTTGCAGACAAAATTCTATATATATTTAAGAAAATGAAATTGCATATATATTTACCAACAGTTCTATTAGTCCCCATTCTACTGCTTTTAATTAGTTTGTTGCATTCTTCAAGTTACATACGCACTATACACTTCTTAGGAATAGTAGTAATATATTTTTACTATACCCGAATCATTTTAGGAAAGAAAAGGGACAAAGCAACCATCATTTTGATTAATGTGTCAATTCCTCTAAGCTTCCTCTATCTAATCCCATTTATAAAAAAAAAATCTAATTCATTTAGGTGGCGACTCAATGAAGATATCAAGCTCTAAATTCTTTTAAATAATAATAATAATAATAATAATAATAATAATAATAATAATAATAATAATAATAATAATAATAATAATAATAAGAATTCAGAATTATATGAAAGTCCAGGAGATATATGATCCTTTTTTCTTAATTTTATCATACTTAATTATCTAATTTTTATTCAGTGGATAAAAAATGATCGATTTTGTAGATTTGAGCTCTTAATACTTATTGATGAATAAATGTAATAATTATTTATATTTTATATTATGAAGCTTGATTTTGTACATGACATGTACATTCACATAAAAATGCGAGGCTTGAATATTTTACTAAAAAAGAACTATCAACCTTGAGAGACAATTATGCCAAAGCGTAATTGATTATGTTATGGCTGAAGAATATAGGGAAAAAAGTCGATCAAGAAATCTTGCTTTTCACGTTGTCTATGTAAGCAATCAAACTCAAAGAAAATATACCAAAAATTAATTGGTAACGTTATGCCTAGAAAAATCGAGATCGAGTTGGTAGGAGAGTGTGCTTTTTTATTTTATTTATAAAAAAGGTCTTAAAGTTACAAAGTAATGCTAGCTTTTGGAATATTAAAATATGTAATTTATGATAAAATCAATTTTTTTTCAATTATGTGAGTATTAATTAATTTTAGTATATATATTGTAAAAACATGAATACACGTGCATCGCACGTGCAGAGAAACTAGTATATATATATATATATATATATATATGTATATGAATTAGAACTGAACATTAGGTCAGATCCTCTAATAGCCTAGATTGGCCGAGGGAGAGTAAACTCGACCAGGGGTTTTCTTTGGGGGATTCTTACATTCATATACAACTATTTCAAACTTTGTTATCAAAGATGTCCACGTTTAATTAATTACCCGACCTAAACAAGTTTTATTTACAAAATATTTACATTCCACCTTAAAAGGCTCCCAATCCATTATTAGTGCCTTCAATCAAGGAATTTAGTTATATTTTTTTTTTTCTCTACTCTTTCCCCTTTTCTCTCCAGATCTTCCACCCTTGCAGCAATTTGGTGATCAAGTCAGTGGACAACTCTTTCATCTGGTTGATCACGTAACCATGTCTTAATAGTACTTACAATTTTGTGTTATTTCTTCTAATCCTTTTTCTTCTTTTTAACCCTTCAGTTTTACGTTGGAATTTAGTAAGAATTCCTTTAATTCCTTTATAATTAACAGAAAGATTAGGTTAATATATGGGGACAACTTTTTATAGGTTCTTTGTATCAGGATTCAGGATAAAATAAAAATTCTAATTTAAATCCTTAAGGGAATCAGACTCTATCCCCTGTCCATCAAGTCTATTTAAATATTATCCAATTAAGAACTTGTTGAAGTTGCTATTCAAAATATGAAATCAGAAGGGCATCCATTTTCAAAGAATTATATCCTATGCTTTTCACTTTCTTTAGGTAGGAGTAATATAATTAATAGGACAGCCCTAGTTGGATAGAATATATTTGGAGAGCATTATTCTACAAATCATACTCAACAATGGTTATACTTTTTCCTGCAAAATAAGATGGAATCCTTTTGGCATGTAATGCTGAAGATAGGTAAGTTTACCTTTTATGAGAAGTCGATCCGAATTAAGTTACAAGGTAATTCATGAAATTAAGTAATGTTTTAAACAGTTTTAACACGTTTAGGCAAAGAGCTTAAAAGCACAATGTAAAAGCACAACTAATCTACAATTTTCATACATTATTTCTACATAGTTAAATACAACTACAATATCAAACAACTTAAATACAATTTTTATACAATATATTTTTTGTATATTTTGTATCTGATTTATACATAGTAAACACAAATTTCAGACAACTAATTATATATTATACAACTTATCTACAACTTTTATACATTATTTCTACCCAGTTATATTGTAACGACTCGACCGGTCGTTTTAAAAATTTACGCCCTGATCCCCTATTAATTGCTTCCCCGTGACTATTTCTACTATTGTGAATTGCCGGGATGGTTCATTTTGAGTTTCGGAATGTTG